CTGCTGCTTTGGGAGCTTGTGGTATAATTATATAGTCTTTCTCACTGATTCCTGACTCAGAGCTCTAGAAATCCTTGGAATTTCCTGAATGATAGGAGTGTTTTCATAAAGATCCCTTGTCAGGGTGGGTATGGTGGTTCATGCCAATTATCCCAACTTCTGGGGAGGCAGAGATAAAAGAATTGTGGTCAGAGGCCAGCCCTGGCAAAAGCATGAGACCCTCTCTGAAAACAAAAAACTAAAAGCAAAAAGGACTAGGGCTCAAGTAGTACAGCACTTGCCTAACAAGAGCAAGACCCTGAGTTAAAACCCCAGTACTACCAATTAAAAAAAAAAAAATCCTTTTCTACCATACCTGAGTTTATGCTAATGACCTCAGATAATTTCAAGACAAGGGCTAGCCACCCACAAGATTAGAGGCTTGGAACTTTCAGTTCCACCCCACTTTCTTTAGGAAGAGGAGAAAGCTGAAAATTAAGTCCAATCACCAATGGCCAATGGCTTAATTAATCATGTTTAAACCTTAAAGCTTCAACGAAACTTTTCAAATAATGGACCTAGGATATCTTCCTGGTTAATGAACAAATTTATGTACCAGGAAGGTGGTGCACTCCAATTCCATGGAGATAGAAGTTCCTGTACTTGAGTTGTTTAGAATCTTGCCCTCTGTATCCCTTCATCTGCCTGTTAAATTTGGATCTTTCTGTTATGGTCTGAATGTGAAACGTCCCCCACAGGCTCCTGGGTTGAATGCGTGGTCCCCAACTGGTGGTGCTATTCTGGGAGGTGATGGAAATTTTAGGAGGTGAGGCCTAGCTAGAGGAAGTAGATCGTGGAGGCATGCCTTGGGAACATTAGATCTGGTCCCCTGTCCCTTCCTTTCTGCCCACCATGAAGTGAACAGCCTCCTTGTCTGCACGCCCCTGCAGCCTGCCTCACTATGGACCCAGAATTAATAGAACTAAAGACTAGGAACTGAAATCCCTGAAACCGTCAGCCAAAATAAATCCTTCCTCCCTTAGGTGGTTTCTGTCAGGCATTTTGTCACATTGATGAGAAAAGTAACTAACACACCTTCATAATAAACTATAATCCTAAATGTAGTACTTTCTTGAGTTATGTGAATTGTTCGGGAAATTATCAAACCTGAGAAAGGGTCATGGGTACCACCAAATTCACAGCTGGCCAGCCACAAGGGCAGGCAGCATGAGAGCCCTCTTGTGGCTGGTGTATAGAACTGAACCTTTAATTTACAGGGTCTGTCCTAACTTTGGGAAGTTAGTGTCAGACTTGCATTGTAGGACACCCAATTTGTATCAGATATTGCTGTTGGGAACACAATGCTTTCCTCTCTAGTCTTTGTGTTCCTTGAGAGTCTTTTTGTCCCTATGCTAAGCACAGTACTTTTATAAAATAAGAATTCATTGAATATTTTCTTATAGTAAGTTTCTCGCTTAAGTGGCTTCAATTAAAAATGAGAAAAGCATATAAATTACTAAAATACAAAGGAAATTACTTAAGTTCCATAAAATAAACAAAAGAAAGTTCTATTAATATTTTAATGAGAGGCCTGGTGTGGTGATAGACATCTGTAATTCCAGCTATTCCAGAGGCTGAGGCAGAATTGTAAGTTTAGGCTACATAGTGAGTTCAAGACCAGTATGGGCAACTTAGTAAGACCCAGTCTGACATTTTTTTTTTTTAATTTAAGAATTGACTGGGGTGTAGCTTAGTAGTAGAGCTCTTGCCTACCATGCATGAAGCACTGGGTTGGATACACAGTACTAAAAAAATTAAGGAGAGGAAAAAAATCTTTTCTAGTTGAAGGACTGTGTCTGCAATTCTAAATGTGATTGGCAGTGAGGGGTGAGAAGATGCTGCTCTTGCATGTAAATTTCAGCGTGGAGTGTGTAGCAAACTGGGAAAGGAAACCACCAACTCTACCTGCCAAGATCATCCAACAGTAGGGCCCTTTTTCCTATCAAACACAAAAGCTACTCTGATGACAAGCCTAAGGGTTGCACAGAGATAATACAGCCACCAAGGAAGCTAGTGGATAAGGGCTCTCATGTTGACAGTGACGATTTCAGAACTCGGACTGGGACCAGCATGTCTGCATTAAGCTGAAGGGCAAGGCCTGACCACTTAGGAAGTTCTTATTTTCTTCGTATCTCCTCTGAGTTCGTCTCACCAGAGATAGGACAACAGACAGCATTCTCATTCCAAAGCTAAATCACCTAGGAAAGGAAAAGTTAGACTCATTCTCCCCAGATCTATGGAAATACTCACTGGGAGGCTTCCAAGAAGCTTAACTAGAATCACATCACATAGGTATTTCCCACTTTGGGGATAATCTAAGTGCTGATGTGCCAACAGAAAATATGTCACTGTGTTTCCAAAGTAAATGTCTTGAGTTTGAGAAACCAGATGAAGAAGAGATTGAAACACATAGATGAGGATGAATAGTTAGGTGCTGCCCTCCATCAATGCTGACTCTTAGCCAAACATCTTACCTGTCCCCCAACACCACGAGGCTCCTCATGAAGACCCAGATCCACAAAGAGTACTCTCATTCCAGGGTCACTGCAGTCACAGAAGCTCTGCATTACCTCCTGGTAACAAAGGCCCACAGAAGCTCCTGTGCCTCTATGGCAAAGGTTAAAATACTGTGACTTGTGCCTGGGGCAGAAGTAGAAAAGACCCATGCCAGATGCCTGAGTCAGTAAGGGCTTTCATGTTTGAGCTCCCTTCACTCCTGGGGGTAGGGCTTACAAGTCATCAACTGGGGCATTTTGTCTGAAGTCTATGTATTTTGCCTGCACAAGGGTGGCACTCTCTGAGTTACTGTTTATCAATGACCACTTGTTGTTCTGGCTCAACTGTTTGCAACTTCTGGAAGACTAGTAGCAAAGCCAGTTACTCTTATCTTGAAGCACTTTTTGTAAGAAATATCCTGAGTCTAATAATTTGATTGCAAATATTAGACTCTTCGTCTGCCTAGCACATTAAAGGAAAAGGAAGAGAATTTATGTAGGGTTTCTTTTAGGACTGGAATTATAGTTTTAAGTCTACTTCTGTAATTAATTAATTCACAAATTGTAGGCTTGGTTTATAAAATTTTTAAGGACTGCCTCCTTCCCAGCACTATTAGGCTCAGGCAGATAGTGGCCCAAAATGTTTATCTGTAAAGTATACACTGCATTCTTGGCTCTTGTTATACAACGCAGCAATAATATTTGTTTTTAGCTTTGTAACTATGATGCACTTTAGGTAATGTTGTGTTTGTACAGTATTATTGCTCAGAAAAGAGATAATACAGCAGGCCTGAGACTATTGTTTAGAAAGGCCTGCAGGCAAGGGTGTCCCTTGAATGGGCCTTAGGCACTTAATTTGGGAGGGTTCCTACCATTCCTAGAACTAATAAAATTGGATTGTTAGCCTAAATTGGTTCACAACCATCATGGTTAATGCTGAACATCTGCTTTCCTTCTAAAGCCTGAAATTTTGATACACGCATGATAGAAGGTGCCTATGTGACTAGACCCCAATAAAAACCCTGGATACTGAGGCTCTCCTAAAAGGAGACATGTTATATGCATTGTCACAATTCATTGCTGAGGAAATTAAGTTGTGTCTTATGTGACCGTACTACAAGAAGATTTTTGGAAGTTTGCACCTAATTTCTTCCAGACATTCAACTGATACATTCTTTTTATCAGTTGGATGCAACAAGTCACAGCCACGAGTATGACTACATCCTGAGTCCTGTGAGTTCTCTTTAGTGAATCACTGAACTTGGCAGTGATCTTTAGGACCCCTATCAGTTTCTAGAAAGACAACTGCACTGAATTAGCCTGTAGGATTATAATTTTTTAAAAACTGAGAAGAAATGTTAATGCCTCTTTTCATATGTTAGATGGTCCCATTTTCTGGGCATTCAATTGCATTGAGCATTCCTGTTTCTGTAAATAACAACTGTAAAAATCCTCCAACAGTATTTATTCGTCTTTATATGGATATATTTTACTTCAAGTATTTTAAGAAATAAAATACTTTATCATCTTTTTTTCTACCCAACGTGGAAAAAATATCCATAATACCTCTTAAATTTTAAAGCAAGAGGAGGTAACTGTGGTGCAAACTCCTGGCAATGGGAAATAATCTCTTGTTACCTATTAAGTATAAACAGTCTTCGTGGGGGGAGGGGCAACCTTTGGAAAAGAAAGGTGAGTCAGAGGCCTCAAGTTGAGGAATTTGGACATAAACTGATGAGCCATGGATGCATTCAGTGATTGGTATTACATCCTGTTAAGACTTGGGGCAGACCTAAATCATTTCCGGACTAAATGGCTAATGAGCATTTCCCAGATTGAAGGGTGGCCTTTATTCTTTGCAGGCAGGAGACAGGCAGGCAGGGCGCCCTCTGTTGAGTTGATATATCACAGAATTCACCACTCAGGTTTCAAGGAAAGGAACCTAAAGCCTTATCCAGCTCCCCAGAATACTAAAATCCTGATGAGTGACAGGCCCAGCGTCACTTAGATGGGGTAGGTAGCACAGGAACAGTGCCGGGCACATACGAGGGTTGACCACGAACTTCTGGCCGAGGAGATGTCCTAGCGGCAGGCTCTTTGCATCACGCACGCAGGCTGCTTCTCCATAAGACCTTTGAGTGACTGTCAAATTTAAGGTTGTTTACTTGTGTAACAAACTTCCCTTAACCCTAAAAACAGTTTTAATTTACATTCTTGAATTTGGCCGCCAGGTCCCCTTTTAGTTCTAAAAGGGAAACACCTGGATGCAAATTAATATTTAGGATTCAGTAGGTTTTTCGCAGCGTTTTTCTGCCACAACTATTTCTGTATTAAAAAACACCACCACTGTCCCACCCACCCACTTCAGCAGGCGCAGGCACACGCTGACGCTACTGCGCATGCCCAACTGCGACCCGACGCCGGGGGATGACGTCACGGACGCGGCGCCACACCCTTCCGAGCGCCATGCTGGGCTTGAGCACAGCGGGTCTCGTGCAGCGCCTGCGGGTCGCAGGACTCGCATGGCTGCGGAGCCCGCGCGGCTGCTCCCTGGGCCTGGCGCGCGCGACAGGGGCGCCCCCTCTAGGGGACTGGCGGTCTCCCGCCCCGCCGGAGCCGCGCGGGCGCCCGCTGAGCCTGTCAGCCGCCGCGGTGGTGAGCTCGGCGCCCCGCCCTCTGCAGCCCTACCTGCGCCTGATGCGGTTGGACAAGCCCATAGGTGAGTGCCGGCTATCGCCGTGTACCCTCTGACGACCCACCTCGGGACACAGTCACCACGATTTCTAAGGGACCTGGTGGCTTTCACGCCCTCTGTATCCTGAGCCCCGAAACGGGCCCAAAAGAAAAAGATTATCCATGCAATAGTATTCTAAATAGTGAAAGAAAAGGAACACGCTTCTCGTGGCGCATAATTAAGACTAGTAAGACGCCCAAGAAACTAAGACTTCTTGTCAGAACCAGACCAGAAGAACCTAGTGTTTTGGTGCTGAGGTCTTTTTCCTGCATCACTTGCAACACGACAATTTGGTACATTTAGTACCTTTGAACTCAGCAGTGCAGCACTTCCTGACTGCTTATCAGCTCACAGAATTTCTCTGATCTTCCTATATAAATTAGTACTTACTCTCTCACTCTACCTCTTTATTCTCTGTTTTTCTTTTGCGCTCACCACTGTCTAACCCTATTCACTTAGTTTATTGACTTCTGTAATACAATATAAGCTCCATATACTTGAGACTTTTCTAATGCCTAGAACACAGTCTGGCAGTAGTAAATGAATCAATCAATTCCTACCACATTGCCTAGCCTTAAGGATAGAAACAGCTATGGAAACTCTGCTTTCAAGAACTCAGGTCTGGCAGAAAAAGATAGTTGATGACCTGGGAGGAAGTATGGAATCCAATAGGAGTGGTAGAGGTAGTGCTGCAGAAAAAAAGAAATTGCTGTGGATCTCCATTACTGGAAAATGCTTGAAAATGTCATTGTACTCCAAAGGACAGGTTGATTTTGCAAAAGAGGGAAAAGATTGTGGTGTGAGAAATATTTACCAAACAGTAAAGATGGAGTATGGGAACACTTAAGAATATGAGCCTGAGTTGCATCACTAAGAGGGTGTAGAAAATGGAGACAAGGCTGGACAAGAGCTGGACTGAAGAAGGAGGGAGAAGTGGGGGCTGCATTCTGGACAACAGAAATGTTGACGTTTGTCGCTTCAGCATAAGGAAATATATTTGAATGCCTAGACTTCATCTTTGCCCATCCAAAACTCTCAGTTAGCCTTTGGTTGAGACAGGGTCTTGCTTTGTAACCCAGGCTGGCCTTGAACCTAAGATGTTGCCTCAGCCTCCTGAATGATAGGATTATAGGTGTGTACCACCACACCCCACAAGGCCTGGTTTTTGATGTGCTAGGTTTATGCACTACCTATTTAGGATCAGAGCACTAAAAGTTACAACATTTGGCAATTAAAATGTAAAAGCCTACTAAATGATCAGTAGAGACTGCCCATCGTTGGGATGCTATGGATGACCCTTTGCATTTTGGTTGATAGGCATAAATTTGAAGCTTGACTAGAATTCTGTTCTTGGATTCTTCATCATAGAACGACAGGATCCAAGAGATGGAGAGCTGTAGTCATTTCCATTTCCACACTTAAACTTCTGGCTTCTGTTCTGGTGGCCATTCTGTCATGTAACAAGAGGGTTTAAAGAAAGTTCAGGAGCCCGACCTCTTGTAATTCATCCATTACCATGGTTAAATTACTTCACCCTTCTATGCTTTTTTTTTTCTTATCTATAAATGAAGATACTCATACCAACTTTATAAGGTTGCCATGAAGATCCATTAACACATGTTCAGTGCTTTGAACAGTACCTTACATAGGACTTAGAAACATTAGCCATTATTATTAGAGAAGTGGAGATTAGAGAAAGTTGTGTTTATGTATGTTAAACAGATACCAGACTATGTACTTTGACTCTGGAGAGGATGATTGCAGAATTTTTTAGAAAATGTAGACTTCATATGACAGGAACAACAATTAACAGTAGTAGAATTCCAAATTTAATATTTTAAAAATTCTTACACAGTAATTTTATGTTTATTTTACTTTATTGAAGTTATATCTTGTTACCAGTAGTAGGCTTCATTGTTTTTGAGAACACTTGTTACCATGTCTTGGCCTCCAGCATTCCTTATTCCTGCTCCTCTGGCCTCCAAAGATGCACAAGCTGTATACTTGGACCTCTGCCTCAACTTTCTTCTTTTGCGCTTCAGCCTGCGCATTTGCTTCTCAGTCCACTTGGCTTTCATGGTATAGAGGTGTCTAAGAAGATAATGCTATTTCAAAAATTTTCAGCAGGTGGTGCTCTATCCACTGAATGAGCAGTGCAGTTTTTTCTTTGATGTATAAATGTGTGATTATGTTGTTGTAAAGAAAATCTGACTATCAGCCCTAGCACTGTCTTAGACACCTCTATACCATGAGAGCCAAGTAGAGGGAGAAGCAAATGCATGGGCTGAAGCACAAAAGATGAAAGATGAGGCAGAGGTCCAAGTAAACAGTTGTACATCTGTGGAGACCAGAGGAGAAGAAATAAGGAATGCTGGAGGCTAGGACACTGGTACAAGTTCTTAGACTGCATGCTGCTGTCTAGGATTTGTCTCAGTGGATCTGGAACTTCCATGCCATCTGATTACCAGGACCAGCTCTGAGAGACAAAGTTTGCTCATGACCAGACTGTCCTTACTGGTCCTTTGCCCTGAACCTGAGACATTCTGGACTATACAATTCGGCCATTGTACATGGCTGAATGTGATGCATATACAATAAACTATCTCTTCTGTATCAGCTAAAGAAAAAAAAAGAAACTGCAATTAGAGAATTAGTCTTAGACTCAGTTTACAGGGCACTTTTTTCTGCCTGCCATATTTCAGAATTTGATCATTTTATTTCATCTCCCAGAGAGTTTTCCTTCTCTTTTTTTTTTTTTTTACCATAAACATTTCTTTCTACTGCCTATTTATCTCTTCTCCGTACCACTGCATCTTTCTTCACAGAAGGGAGCATAGGAATGACAGTGTTACAAGGAAGATAGAAAAAGTGTTCCTGGAAATCAGTAGGGGCAACAGAAGTGGAAGAACCTAACTATATCTAGAGATTTAGGTATAAAAAGTGGCAGCATCAATTTAAGACATAGGCTACAGTAGACTGCCGGGGTTGGAATTCTACCTTGGCCATGGTTTACCTGTGTGGTCTTAGATAAATTACTCCTTCTACGCTTCAGCTTCTGCATTTACAAAGTTGATGTAATAAACATAGGTTCCTGCCTTGTAGGTTTGTTATGAGAATCAAAAGTGTTCTATGAGAGCCCCTGGCACATAGTAGCTGCTGTGTATCTGTTGTTTTTCAAAATCATTATCATTAATATTGTCATCGCATTACAACTCTTTGAGGTAGATGTTCTTTTCCTTCATTTGAGATGAAACCAAGACTTAAGCCTTCAGATACTTTTGTGTCCAGTGTCACTTCTGTGTCTTGTGTTACTCAGTTTCCAGGTGGCAGACATGGAACTGGAAAGTCTGTGGCTTTCCTCTTCTCTATAGGAGCCTTCCTCATCTGTAGAGGAGTTCTACAAATTCTTATCAGTAATTGAACATGGTACTTACAGTACAGACTTACGGCCAAGGAAATTTTGTTCACTATAGTTGTTACACATCTTTCTCTCTCAGAATTTTTTTTTCTTTATGATGGACCCTTCAGTTCTAATTGTGCCAAGCAAAACTTTGAAGATGTATTCTTTCCTCTCTAGCTTAGGAGGACAGTATCAGACACTTCTCTGTCCCTCATGAGCTCTACTGGTAACTCCAGCATAAAGGAAGTAGTCAGTGTTACTGTTTTACTTAACTTCGGTTTATCTCTTTCCTCATCTGTAAGATGGAGCTAATAGTACCTTATAAAGATGTTGAGGATAGGATAGATACATACTGATAAAGTATTTAGAACTCTGCTTCAAAGAACATTCCATAAATCTTTGTTGTTGTTACTGTTTTAAGTGGGACACACTAAATACAAGTCTGTCCAGGGCAACATGAATTTAGATACTGAACTGGCCATTTCTCAAGGTTTTTTCTTAAGGCCTTGCCTTGCCTTTTCTGCTCTGTGAATTTTAGCCTCCATTGGAAAAGTCTCCCTGATTCCTCTTTTCCTCCCCAAATAACTTAGGATGGTTCTGTCTTGGGCCTTAATAAGACAGACCTTGTTCATGACCTGTTGTTGGATTAATCTTTTATTGTTAGTTGCTTGTTTAACTGCATTTTGTACCTTTGCTTTCTAAGCTGCAAGAAAGCAGAAACCAGCTCTCTCTTAGTCACCTAGTGCAGAGTATGTGCTTCATAAATATTTATAAGTGAATGAAGTTTAAATGTGGCTGTAGGGGCTGTTGGGGTCTGAGGTCGACCACCCCTCAGAGAAACAAAAGACACTCAAAATAATGTAAGCCACAAAGCGAGGTTTATTTTCCAGCTAGCTGGGGTCCGGGTATCCGCCCGACGCAGTGGGTTTCAACGAGGACCCCGAATGCAAAGTTCAGGGTGCTTTTATATTTTTTAAACATTAGTCATGGTCACACAGCAATTTTTATGGCCCCTAGGGTCACATATTTCTGATATCACCCAAATCCTGGTGGTGGGGCAAGATTACTTAAAGATTACTTATCAGGAACTTGATAAACACCAGGTGTCTTAACTCACACAAATATCAGGTGTCTTAACTCACACCGTTTAGCAAGATTAACCAGAAACAGTCCCTGTTCCCAGAAACCGTCCCACCTCCCTTTGTTCCAGTAAGTGGTGGCTTGGGTCATGTTAGCCATGGCTGGTTTCAGGCTGAGTGGGCTGCAAGCCTCAAAGGTACCCTAACATTCCCCCCTTTAGTTGTTCATAATGAGGAATCATGCTCATCTGGGCGACGAGCATAAACATCCTCAGGGCTAGGTAACTGTTCATATTGCTGTCTCAGGACCATTAGTTGGACTGTACTAATTTGATCTTTCACGAAGGTCACTAGCTTATTCAGAATACAAGGACCAAAGGTTAAGATAAGCAGTAGTATGACTAGAGGGCCCACCAGGATAGAGACCAAGGTAGTGAACCAGGGGGACCTATTGAACCAAGCTTCGAACCAATTTTCTTGGGCTTCCCTTTCCCATTTCCTTTTTG